GGTGATTTGATGATGCATGGAGGGGATTGTAATCATTGCAATGAAATGTAATATGATAGGATAAATGTGAAGCTGAAGTGGGACAGAGGCAAATAATGATGTATGCACAACGCTGGAACAACAGGGCTATGGGATGTAGCGACTGAGACATGGTTGGAATGGGGGGAAGGGGGGAAACAATGTTAAGATGCTTGGCTGTCTTTTGAATCTTGGTTTCCCTGGCATACCACTATAAAATAGACACTGGAGGGGGAGAGAAAATAATAGCCAGAAATAGCACTATAGAAAGCTTGTAAGTCCGTTTTCTGCCTACAACTGATTGGAATACCTAAAATGGGGCTACAACATGACCAATGAAGGAGGCTTCCTGTGGATTCTCTGTATTACACAAGACCATAGGTGGATTCTTGAACAGCATCCAGAATCTTTTGAGGGGAAATTTCCATTTGAAAGGACAAGCAGACCAGCCTGGAGGGGCCAGAAGAACAGAAGATACTTCCTGAAAGAAAGACTGACAGGAAAAATACAAAACAATACAGGCAGATCTACGGATTACTACAAGAACAAACAAGTGGCTTGCCCAGGAGACATCAAGGCAAGTGATAGGGTCCCCTCAGAACAAACCTCCTTCAAAAGCTGAGACCCAATGGGAATACACGATCTGATTGGCGACCACGTTCGTTCATTGCCAATAGGGAGAAGTGAGGGAAGGGAAGCAATGAAGCTGCTAGCTAAGCCCTACAACATTCAATGGACTCCTGTGAACCCGGTTGGAGACCTGGCTGGCCAGCAGTGTGGCAAGACCTGGGGACTCCTGGACCCAGAGTCAGTGACATAGCCACAGAGGACTAGAGTAGAGAGTGAAGTGTCCAGCTGACAAGAAGAGAGGACACATGCATAAGTATACCCACACTTGCAGATAATTCCCACCTGACCTGGCTTCATTGGCTGGATGATCAGAGCTCAACCAGAAGAAGACAGAAGAGGAAAAAAAGAGTATTCTGATACAATTTGATGAACTTGACCTACACCTATGGATGCAGTAGCTCAAAAGAGGGAATAAGTCTTCACAGCGAGGATCACTCCCACCCCATCCACACAAGGAGAGGGCAGGGATGGGCAACTTGAACATTGGCTATCCAGAATGGGGGTGGGGGGGAGCTACAGAGGCAAGAAGTGACTGGCTTACAAGCTTTCAAAAGGGAACCTAGATCCAGAGGGCATGGAGCAAGGTAGAATTTCCACTGAGTAGTATCTCTTGTGATACAATGGTGAATAACTGTTATCAGGACTGATTGTGAGGGCTGGAAATGTAAAAGTAGACGTTTTGTAGCAAAGGGAGGGGAGGGATTAACTTTGCAGTCTAGGGGTGGAGGTCTCTGGGACCATCAAGGGAGAAGAGTGAAGAACGGAACCCTACCCAGGGAAGCGGTGATGCCAGAGATGGAGGCAGAGATGATCATGCAGAGAGATGGAGTGGCTGGGGACTTTGGACCCGGAAAGGGAGAGGGCCTATGTGCTGATGACCAGGGGGCAGGCTTGCGGGGTATATCCTGTGGTTGGTGGATGATGCATGGAGGGGATTGTAACCATGGCAAGGAAATGATATACGATAGAATCAATGTGAAGCTTATGTTTTCCCATGTAAACGATCACATAACTCAAAATAAAGCATCCTATGAAAAACAAAAACAAAAAACAGTTGCCTTCAAGTCTGTCCTGAACTCCTGGTGACCCCATGCATATCCGAGCTGCTAATCTTTCACAAGAAGATTGCCAGACCTTTCTTCCACATGCCTCTGGATAGACTCCAACCTCCAACCTTTTGGTTAGCAGCTGAGCGCATGAACTGTTTGCACCGTCCAGGGCCTCCTTGGTTAGTTAATGTCTGGAAAAGTCTGACTGGGTAGAGGACTGGAGGAAAAGATTCTCAGAGGAGCAACGGGCAGAGGACTGGCACGGAGGAGCTTGCCAGGCCAGTGGTCACTGGGGATGGTTGGCTGAAGGTAGGTGTGGGGTGAAGGCTGGACTTGCTGGGCGCAAGCTTAGGGCTGGCTCTCAGTGTCCGCTTCCTTCTGAGTTGACCTGGTACTGGAGCCTTTGTCCTGGCAGGGGTGGGCATCGGGAGTCCAGGAGGGCAGTCTGTGCCCCAGTGCCTGGGGAGGGGTGGCTGAGCGAATGTGACCTCTGGGTGTCCCTTCAGCGTAGATTAACTTGTGACAATAAACACACCTCATGTCTGGAAACCCCACTCAGCCTCCCACAAGATGCGACGACTGCCTTGCCTCTGTGTCTCCACTAGCTGATGGGAAGAACATGAAGGACATGGTTGGACTCTGGAGAGACCTGTCTGCCTGTGATCCAGGCTGGTTTGGGGACTGGAAGCAGGGTTTGAGAGGATCCACCCTGGGTTTAGTAGGGAGATAGTCCTGGCAGGAGCCTCGTGGAAGCTGAAAGGCGCCTGGGCTGCTGCTCCCCTCTCCCTGCCTCTGCGTGGAGGTCTGACTCTCCAGGGATGACCGCAGTCCTCTCAGTAGCTCTGTGAGGGGAGAGACGGCCTTTTCTCAGGGTGCTACAGGCTAAGTCATGGGACCAGCCCTCCCAGGAGGTAGGTGGCTTCCCCTGGCTGGGTGGCTGCTCGTTGGGACAGCACCCCTGCGGGCTGTCTCTGGGCACCCAGGAGCCCCAGCTCCCTTGGTTCAGAGTGGCAAATGTGGTTCAGGACACCAATGACTCCAGCTGAGGCTGTTTTCCTTCTACTCTTCTCTGGAACACTTTCTTTGCTGTGCTCGCACCTGGACGCTGTGAGGGAGCGATTTTCTAAAGCTCCTAGGCAGATGCTCCCCTGCCATCATCCACAGGGCCCAGGTGGAGAGGGCTGGGTCTGGGCAGCATCTGCAGACAGAACCAGTCCCTCTCCGGAACTGGGCAAGCATAGAGGGGTGGCTCGGAATCTCTGTAGAGACATGCCCTAACTTTGGTGGCGCTGACTTTGAAGCAGTTTACCCGCATCCTTCTCAAGACCCATCCAGTGCTGATCTGTCCTTGTCCAGCACCACCTGCACTTTGCTAGTCCCAAAGGAGAAGGTGTCCAGGTACAAAACGTAGTCCTCAGTGGAGACCACAGAGCCACCGCTCTCCCTCATGGGAAGTCAACCAGTTCCTAGGCACCAGGAAACACACAACTCCACGGGCACCCACACGTGCAAGCCCCTTCTGTGCTCTAGAACCAGCTTCGGAAGTGTGAAATGCATATTCTCAGAAGGCCAGGGTTCCCATCTCACCCATTTTGCAGACAGAGACACTGAGAGGCCAAGGGTCACAGATAAAACAAGCCACAGGAATGGTAGGTATTCCCCGGTGATCCCACAAAACTAAATTCTCCTAGAAGAACTCACGGCATGTCCCATTGGGGTTGGGGACCATAGCCCTCTTCCTTTCCAGAATGTGCTTTCTCACCGTCTGGATGGTATAAATGATTACCATGCTCACTGCTAACCAGAAGGCTGGAGCCAGTTCAAGTCTACTCAGAGGGGCCTCAGAAGAAAGTCCTGGTGATCCATTTTAACAATCTCAGCCACTGAAAACCCTGCTCTGACACACAAGGGTCAGTATGCGCTGGGGTTTCAATCTGTGACTGACCCCTTTCCCACTGGTATGGAGATGTGCATGGCAGCAGACACAATGTCCACTCTGACTCAGGATCAAAGGGGACACACTCAGACCCTACCCACCCACCCCCACTCACACATGCACCCCGCATGTCCTGAGACACTGATCGCGTGAAGAGAAGCACATGTCCCCCAGTTGGTCTCCCCAGTGCTCAGGACTCAGAGCCAAACTTCTGGTGCAGAGAGCAGATAGGGGAAGTGATGAACGTAGGTTAACAGAAATTCCTGATGCAGGGTCTTTGGACATCAGGATCTGAGGAGAGATGTACAGTGGGAGGGGACGGGCTCTGGATTTTAGAGCACAGCCTGGGTGCCCATCTGCCTGCTTGACCCAGCCACGCCAGCTCAGGGGTCAGTGGGTGGGTTGGGTCATCCCACCCCGTGACTCGCCAGATGTAAGCACACACACACAGACACCTTTCTCTGTGCCCCCCACCCACAGACAGACCTAATGTCCCTTTCAGCACTCTCCTCGTCATCCATCATGGCAGTTGCTGCAGTTTACCATGTCTGCATGGCCTCATCTAAGTCATATGCTTATTATCTTCAAGTCAGATACAAGGAAATGGAGGCACAGAGAGGCTAATAACTGGATTAAGGTCACACAGCCAGGACTTGCGGCATCGTAACTCAAATCCGGGTGTTTTTGACATTGACCCACAATGCCTGGCTGCCTCTCTGCCTCCCTGCTTCTTCAGAGCCCAGAGCTCCCCTCTAGGACTCCCCAGGATGATGTCTCTGTGCAACTGGCCCTAACTGGCTTTGTTTATATAGCCTACATCATCTATTCATGGAACATTCAAATCAAATGTCCCTTTGCTCCCCAGCAGGCTGTCATGGCTCATTTTCCCAGAACTGTCCCTCCATCCTCCTGTGACTGCCCTAGATCCTCTGCCTCCGGGGTCAGCAGAAAAGACAGACACAGAGGGGAGGGAAGAGTATGGGGCACAAACAGGAGCTGCAAGACTTTGGACCGCATGGTCTCCAACTAGCAGACTGACCTCCAGAAGTAAGTCCTTCCCTACCCACCTCTCTGCTACTGGAAAGACCTCAGAGGCCCAGCCTGCCAGTCCCTGCCGCCCGTCCTGGGGTTCCTCGCTGCCCACCGCTCCTTAACAGACTTGGACCAATCCATGCAGGCATGAAGTCCAACCCCATGGGCTCTGGGGGAGCTGTGCGTGGTGGCCCCCTGAGCCCATACCTCTAATTGCCTGGATGCCGCTGCTCCCTGTACCCCGGCTTTGCCTTGCTCCTCATAGGGGAATTGGGGTGCGCATGTGCCCTCTACTAGCCTCAAGGTGAGCAGCCCCCAGGAGGCAGTCTTCTTACCCAGGTCCATGTCTGCTGCCTTGGGCCGGTGGGAACAGGGAACGTTCTTGAAGATGGCATCCAGAATCTTCTCCTTGACCTGGGTGATGGTGTCGCAGTTGAGGATCTTCACGGGGACCTCAGGACTGTTGACGCTGTCTGGGTTGACACAGCTCAGGACCTGGAGTGGGAGGGCGGGAGGGCAAGCTCCAGAATTTTGCAATCCTGGATGGCTCCTCCTTCCACAATGGTCTGGGAAGGGCAAGGAGACCCAATCCCTCTGTGACCCCACTAAACCCCCTGTCCTCACAAGCGGGGGTCACAAGGCTTCTGTGCCATTGTGAGGGCTGCAAAAATGTCACTCAAGTTCTGACTGGGGAGGGCGAGGGGTCTGTGTGGAATGAGCAGCTCAGCATACCGGGACCCTCGTCCTCTTGTTCATCTGCCTGAAACAGTGCTCACATTCTGTGGTTGCGGGAGCCTGGCCCCTTTCTCAGAGGATTCCATCAGCTTGGCTTTCTGTGAGGGTTTCAGGTTGACTAGAGGTTGGCGAATCTCTGAGGAGATCAACATGCTCTACAAAAATGAAAACCTGTCTTTTGAAAAGGGTAGATTCCAGCCACCATTCACAGTTCTGAACCTGGCACCTTGGACAGGGGAAGAAACCACTGCCTTGTTCAGGTCTCAATTTCTCTTTTTGGAAATAGCTGGACATTTAAAAAGATTCTTCTGAAAGCCCCAAATGAGATTCTTTTACTTCAAAAAGCTCTAGGGGTCCTTTCCAGGTATCCCTGGTTGGTTAATATGCTCGACGGAAAGATTGGAGGCTTGAGTCTGCCCAGAGGTACCATGGAAGAAAGATCTGAGGATCACTTTAGAGAAATCAGCCCCTAAAACAAGCTGCGGCGTGTAGCTGGCTCGGACACACATGGGGCTGCTGTGAGTCCAAATCAGTTTGACAAGAACTGGTCAGAACCCAGTTTCCTTCTCTGGCTGTGTGAGACGGGGCTCTTTAAACACTGATGAGAACCACACAGGGAGTGGAGTGGGTGCTGGAAGACTTGAAGGAGTGAGTTAGGGCAGGGTGACCACACATTCCCTCATTGTGCTGTCCGGTATCTCTGTGCTCTGTGTCCCCCTTCTCTGAACTCTCTCTGCCCTATAATCATCCCAGGTGGTCACGTCTGGTTTGAGGAGCCAGACAGCAGCCTCCCTCCCACCCTTTTCCTCCTGCTACATGTGGTGGCAATTAGGACCTCAGCCCTGGACACCTGCTTTTCATTAGCGACCAGACTGCTGTGATCTCGACCAGGGACACGCTTGTTCCATTAAGAAGAAGAAAAAAATTACTTCTCTTGAATCTGTAACATCAGACTCTCACTCTTAAATGCCCAAGACTGGAGCCAATGCTGGAAGAAGCCCACCCTCAGCCGTGCCCTTTATTCTATCCTCCTCAGCAGGCCCAGTGCTGACTTGCCCTTGGGGCTCTCTGGCCACCCTGCTGTCCTCCCCTCTGGGCTGGAGTGGGGAAGTTCAGCTCCACTGGGCTGCAACCTGGATCTTTTTGGAATTTCTCTTCCTAGAAATCATGATGCAGAGGCTGAGTGAGTCGGCCACAAGACTTGCCTGAGTGTGGTCTCCAGGAATATCTGCTGGTCCCTGAGCTCCTGGTGCCCTCACTTCATAGACATTTCAGTGTTGGGGCCGAACTTTCAGAAAGAAAGCAGCGGCCCCCCAGAAGGGTGGGTTTCCCTGGCCACTGGCCAAGTCCTGGACCCACCTGGAACTGCTCTTCCCATCATGGCCCTCGACTAATTTCTGAACAGACTGCTTTGGACTTTCTCTGTCAGAGCCCCAAAGGCCTCTCCTGCTTCAGTGAGCAGATCCACTTGGGGGTTCTTTTTTAGAATGCAGCCTTTGATTCAGGAGGACCAAGTAGGACCTGAGATTCTGCATGTGAGGGGGCTTCCAGGGGCGCTGCTGTGGGTCCTCAGGGCATTTAGGGCAGATGCCAGAGGACTGAGCTGTGCCAGTCTGAATTCCAATCAATCACTGGATCATAAAAGATGCCCAAGGTATCGAGGAGAGCACTGTTCCCCCTGAGCCCCTCTGAGCTGTCACCCAGGACAAGGTGACCATCACCTGACCCTCATTCTTGGCTCCTCCAGTCTTCCCAATTCCAAGACTACTGTCTCTATTTGAACCCTTTGTCTTGAGCCTCCTGTAAGTCTCTCTGTTGCAAATGCTCCTCCTTCCTGACCTTACCAGCCAAGCCAGGGAGCTCCTGACCCTCCCTGGTGGGCAAAACATTTCCCAGACTCCAAGGGGACCAGCCAACCTCCCTACAGCCTTCTCCTGGCAACACCATCCCAATTCCTCCCGCTGAATCTCCCCTCTCAGAGGACTTTCTCCACTCACTCCACTTTTCCCATAACCCCTCCCTTTCAGCCGGGGCTCCTGAAAACAGGTTTGGTGGGTGTGCTCACACTAGTTTGGCCTCTGGAATAAAGGATGCTGCAATTTGGGGGACTAACATTATTGCAACACATTGTGTTGGATTTAATATTTGGAAGCTGCAGATGAAAGCTGGAAGGGAAGGGAGCTGAGGGGGAGATGAGGCAGGAGTCATTTAAATGGCGGTTCTCTCTCATTAAGAAGTCTATTCAGAGCTCTATTTTTAGAAGAGACTTTAACCCTCTCCCTCTTTTCTCATTTTAGTTAGAGCCTCTACCTGTCTCCTCTGGAGCAGACGGGACTGCTGGGAAGCAGTGGTCTTGTTCAGTCTGCTCCGTGGACTCTCATCAATGGGCCAAGCCCTGCAAGTCTGTAAAGACGCCCAATGGGATTCTGGGGCCCCTGGAGATGGGACAGCAGCAGCGTGGCTCAAGTCAGCACGGTGGGGGTCTGTCATGCCCTGTTGCCTCTCCCCTGTCTGTTGTCTGTCTCCTCTCCTGAAGACTGCATTTTAATGTCCATCATTCCATCCTCTTCCTACTTTGCCTCCATTCTTGGGGGCCACCTGCCCATCACTCCCAAATCCCACATTTTACTGGATTTTCTCATTCCTTCCTCCCATGGTCTCTCCTCTTTCTGGTGGGAGATGGTAACTCATCTCCAAAGCAGTATTTAAGTGAACTCCCTAGGATGGACAGACAGCCACAGATGGTAGCCAAGCCGGGGACCTGGGTGACCCCCACCACTAAGGGTTTACACTTTGACCACCGGGTGCATCTTACCCCATCCCATTCTCTCGGCAACATACAGAGCAGGTTCTGGGATGGACCCCATTAGAAAGTATGATTGATCCCATCTTTCAGGTGAAGAAACCTGAACTCAGACTGGGGACTTGCCCCAAATCAGACAGTTGGTTAGTGGCAGAGGTCCTGTGCTCTCCAACACTAAGCCACTCAGTTTTCTGTGGGGACCCCAGGTCCCTGGACCCTCCTGGCCTCGTGTTGTAGAGCTCAGGTCCGGGCCGACTGAACATACTAGAGCTTAGTCATTGTTGCTGTGAGATGCCCTCGGGTTGGTTCAGACTCACAGACTGTGTCCAACTGAAGCTGATGAGGCTCTCATCAGCTGCGCCCTCCTCACAATCGCTAGGGCTTGGACTAGTGGGTAAACTGAGGAACCTGCCTGGCGATGTTCTGCCAAGTGCTTGATCTCCACGTGAGGGGAACAGATGCTTGGGGGTTCCCTGAGGTCATTGGCCAGCTGATAGAAGGGGTGTGACCCCACCACTCAGACTGCTGCCTGGGGACCACACTGGTCTTTGAGAAAGTGTTGCTCAGGTACGTCTGGGCCCCCAAATCCAGATGCCCTGGTGTGGTGGTGCAGGTGGGTACCTGATGGGTCACTGCCGGCGACCTTCCAGCCTCTCCCCAGCCATCTCGGTCAGGAAGGGGCTGTCAGGACCACAGCCCCCTTTTGAACAATGGCGTGACCATGAGCTGACCTACCAGAGTCTTATAGTCGATCTGCTGTCGAATGAGCTTGTCCTCGCTCAGGGAGTAGCGTGCCTCGCCCGTGATGGCATCGATGGGGCCCTTCTCCATCTGTTGCTTGATGGCACAGAACAGGGAGAAGAGCGGCTCCCCGGCACACTCCTGGACACACAGCAGAGAAGGGACTCACTGGGCCATCAGGAGTCGTCTTGAGACCAGCTCCTGCGCCCACCTGCTTCTCTCCCAGTTCAGTTCCCTCTTCTCCACCTCCCCTTCCGGATCCAGCTCTGGGGGCTCTTCTCCCAGCCTGGTCCTTCCTGTCATCTCCCTGAGCCCTCTCTCCCTTCCTTCCTGTCTCCTACATCTCCTACATCCTCTCTGTTCCTCTCTACCCACTGCCTGCTTCTCGGGAGCCCAATCCCAAGGCCACGGTTGGCCTTCTGGGTATAAACTCCAGAGGAGACAAGTGAATCATTGGGAACAGGTATGCTTTATGCCCTAGTCTCAGGGCTGCCTGTCCCTTCTGCTGCCGCATGGGCTGGAGAGACATAGCGCATGAGGGGAATGGAAGCAGAGGATCATGGGTAACTGCTTTTCAAAGCAGGGCAGAGCTTCACTTTGTTCCCACCTGGGGGTGGGGAGCCTGCCTGTGGGGCCTGAGGGACTGTCTGACGTGGCCAAGAGGCTCTCCCTCTTAGTGACTAGGGGTTCCCTTTCTTGAATGGGTTGCAAGAGGTAGGCCTGGGGAGGGAAGACCTGGGGGATACCCCGTATCCAGCCCTACCTTGAGGAACTTGTAGAGTAAGAAAGTGAACCAATTGGTCAACATCTTCTCAGCCACCGACTCCGTCCTGCAGATCAAGACAAAGGAAAGGCAGATGGTCAGAACCCTGGGAGGGCAGGGGAAGAGGCCTGTGCTGGTCTTACTATTCACGGCCTTTAGGTCAAATCTTGAGACCCTAGTGAATATGTGAGTTTCTTGGACTTCTAAAACCAAGCACATTGCCACTGAGTCAATTCTAGCTTATAGCAACCCTAGTAGCATAGTGGGTTATGAATTGAGCTGCTAACCAACAGTAGTTCAATTCATCAGTTCGAACCCACCAACTGCTCTACAACAGAAAAATGAGACTTTCTGCTCTGATAAAGATTTACAGCCTCAGAGACCCTATATAGGGGTCACTGTGAATCGGAACCAATTCAATCACAGGCAGAGTAGAACTGCTCCAAAGGTTTCTGAGACTATAAATCTTTATGAGAGAAGACAGTTTCATCTTTCTTCCTTGGAGCAGCTAGTGGGGTTGAACCTCCAACCTTAGTGTTAGTAGTCTAATGCTTAACCCGCTGTGCAATGAGGGCTCCCTCTCATGGACTTCAAGACACCCTAATGACAAGCCAAGTTCTCCCCACAAAGCTGACGGAAGATATTCTGAACATCTGGATCCCAGGTGGCCGTTTTGGGAAGGCCAAGAGCAGCTCTGTCCCTGAGTGATGGAAGGCACCTCATCTGCACTGCCCAGTGGGCAGCCACAGGCCACAGGGACACTATGACCCAGAGCTGGATTTAAAAGTTGATTTACTTTGATAGTATAAATTTGACTACTTCTATGTGGAGTTCCACCACTCGTCTGTTATTCTGTCATACTGTGGTGGCTTGTCAGTTGCTGTGATTCTGGAAGCTATGCCACTGGTACTTTAAATACCATCAGGGTCACCCATGGTGGACAGATTTCAGATGAGCTTCCAAATAAAGATAGACGAGGAAGAAGGAGTGACGAACTACTTCTGAATATTTAGTCACTGAAAACCTTTTGAATCACAGAGAAACACTGTCAGATACAGTGCCAGAAAATGAGCCCCTCAGGTTGGAAGGCACTCAAAACGCAACTTGGGAAGAGCTGCCTCCTCAAAGTAGAGTTGACAGTGATGACACGAATGGAGTAAAGCCCATGGGAGTAAAGCCCGCGGGACCTTCATTTCTTGATGGGGCACAACTCAAAATGCAGAGAAACAGCTGTAAACATCCATTAATAATTAGAACATGGAATGTAGGAAGTATGAATCTAGGAAAGTTGGAAATTGTCAAAAATGAAATGGAATGCATCAACATCAATATCTTAGGCATTAGTGAGCTGAAATGGACTGGTATTGGCCATTTTGAATCTGACAACCACATGGTTTACTATGCCGGGAATGACAAATTGAAGAGGAATGGTGTTGCATTCATTGTCAAAAAGAACATATCCAGATCAGTAATGAGGTACAACGTTGTCTGTGATAGGATCATATCCATGCGCCTACAGGGAAGCCCAGTTAATACCACTATTATTCAAATTTATGCACCAACCACTAAATCCAGTGAGGACAAAATAGAAGAATTCTACCAATTTCTTCAATCTGACATTGATCAAACATGCAATCAAGATGTATTGATCATTACTTGTGATTGGAATGCAAAGGTTGGGAACAAAGAGGATCAGTAGTTGAAAAATATGTTCTTGGTAATAGAAATGATGCTGGAGATCACATGATAGAATTCTGCAAAGTCAATATGATTTGTTCATCTCAAATGCCTTCTTCACTCAAATGCCTTCTTTAGGCAGCATAAGAGATGATTATACATATGGACCTCACCAGATGGAATACACCGATATCAAATTGATTACATCTGTGGAAAGACATGATGGAAAAGTGCCATATCATCAGTCAAAACAAGGCCAGGGCAGACTGTGGAACAGACCATCAATTACTCATATGCAAATTTAAACTGAAGCTGAAGAAAATGAAAACAAGTCCACGAGAGCCAAAATATGACTTTGAATATATCCCACCTGAATTTAGAGATCATCTGAAGAACAGATTTGATGCATTAAACACTAAAGACCGAAGACCAGATGAGTTGTGGGATGACATCAAGAACATCATTTAGGAAGAAAGCAAAAAGTCATTAAGACAAGAAAGAGGGAAAAGGTCAAAATGGATGTCAGAAGAGACACTGAAACTTGCTCTTCAGCATAGAGATGCTAAAATAAATGGAAGAAATAAGGAGGTACAAAAGCTGAACAGAAAATTTCAAAGGTCAGCTCAAGAAAACAAAGTCAAATATTACAAAGAAATGTGCCAAGACCTGGAGTCAGAAAACCAAAAGGGAAAAACACGCTCAGCATTTCTCAAACTGGGAGAACTGAAGAAAAATTGCAAGCCTCGACTTTCATTGCTGAAGTATTCTCTGGAAAATTATTGAATGATGCAGAAAACACCAAAAGAAGATGGAAGGAATATTCTGAGACACAGGTGAAAACTTTATAACCATAAAGTTTTCACCTGTGTCTCAGAATATTATTATTATTATACTATTATATTATAACCATAAAGTTTTCACCTGTGTCTCAGAATATTATTATTATTATACTATTATATTATAACCATAAAGTTTTCACCTGTGTCTCAGAATATTATTATTATTATTATACTATTATATTATAATAATAACATTATTATTCCATCTTCTTTGGGACTGGACTCTACTCTGAGACATAGGTGAAAACTTTATGGGACACGAGTCCACTCTGAGACACAGGTGAAAACTTTATGGGACATGATTCTACTCTGAGACACAGGTGAAAATTTTATGGGACTCGATTCCACTCTGAGACATAGGTGGAAACTTCATGAGACTTGATTCTACTCTGAGACACAGGTGGAAACTTTATAGGACTCGATTCCACTCTGAGTCACAGGTGAAAACTTTATGGGACTCGAGTCCACTCTGAGGCACAGATGGAAACTTCATGGAACACGATTCTACTCTGAGACACAGGTGGAAACTTTATAGGACTCGATTCCACTCTGAGTCACAGGTGAAAACTTCATGGGACACGAGTCCACTCTGAGACACAGGTGGAAACTTTATGGGACTTGAGTCTACTCTGAGACACAGGTGGAAATGTTATGAGACTCGCGTCCACTCTGAGACACAGGTGAAAACTTTATGGGACTTGCGTCCACTCTGAGACACAGGTGGGAACTTTATGGGATTCCAGTCCCCTCTGAGACACAGGTGGGAACTTTATGGGATTCCAGTCCCCTCTGAGACACAGGTGGGGCCCCCATGAATCAGAATTGACTCAATTACAACTTGTAAGAGAACTTTCTAGGGCAGGCGTGTTCCTTTAGGAGAGAGAAGAAAAACAACAAAAACAAACAGGAAGTACTAATTTGGCAGTGGACAGAAAGGAAGATACTAGGACAAGGGGGTTGGGGTTCAAAGCCAGGCTGAGCCTCATAGTCTATGTTAAAGATTCCTAGACCCCAAGGGGGCCTTTCAACCTCCTTCACTAGGCAACACCATCCCAATTCCTCTGGAAACCCTGAGTCATAGGCCTTGCTCATCCCAAGAGATGACATCATTTTCCTGTTTCAAACCCTTTCATTTGCAATGTTGCAAAGGTGTTTTCTTTGCAAGGGCAGGAGGGTTCTTCTGGAATCTAACCTAAATCCTTCATGCCACAACCCAAGCCCATTTACTCCTCTCCTTGGAAGCGAGGAACAGAAGCAGGGTGATTTACTAAAGGACACTGTGGATTGCGTCCCTTTAGAGAAAATGAACCATGCTCAACCTGGTCCTGGGTGTGCGGCTAGTTGCAGAGAGGGACCTCTCAATCCAGGTGTGGGGAGAGAGTCAGAAGTTGTAGCTGCCAGAAGATACGAAGAACTGATGTCCCAAGACAGCTGGGCAGCTGCCAGCCCATGATGAAGCTGGGAGAGGAAAGAAGGAAGAATCTGGACAGTTAGGGGGAGATAGGATTGAAAAGATGCAAAGGCGATGGTGGAAGAAAGCAACTGGCAGAGAGGGAATCAAAAACAAGATAAGGAACCGCACAGAGAGGCCACGAGGCCACGCCAGGAAATCATCAGCAGGAGCTCTACTAGGCGGTGGCAACCCTAAATTATGCCAGTGGGTGGCTGCTTGGTGAAAGTAAAACAAAAATCGAGATGATCTACCTTGCTGTTTTCAGAGCTGGCTGAATGCTCCTATCTGAAGCAAGCGTTTGCAGTTGTGCGGATGATGGCCCACGGCATCAGGACCAGGGCCATGGTACCAGGACTGCAGTGAACACTTCAGCAAGGCGAAACCTCACCCTGGACCAAATGGAAGTTCCTGGGCCCTGTCTTTGACCCAGATACCAGGGACAGAGATGGCTAGAGGCAAAAGCTCAACAGGCAGTCAGGTGGAGGGCTGGACAGAATGAAGCACCTACCTGAAAGCTGAAGGCTAACCCAGACTAGGGGAGAAATGACCTCAAGAAACGCTCTAATGGGAGCTTGGAGAGTCAGAGTCACAAGATATGGTTGTGGCTCTCCACATGCCCTTTGAGGCTCCAATGGTGTAGAGTGTGAGGTACCAACAGTCCAACCTAGTCTACTCAGGGCATCAGGTGCCAGGAAACACGAGGGCACTTCACAAAGTTCGTGAAACAAATGAAACGAAAAGATATTGGAATTCCCCCCCATGAGTTTCTTGGGATTCCCTCATACTTGCTGGGCGGCACTGAGCAAGCTGTAGCTCAAGGACTTTAATTTAAACATGGGCCAGATCCAAGTTGCTCAATCTTTAACATTCAAATCCCTCGTTTCCCCCAGGAGGATGCAGATTTTGGTTCGGGGCCTGGGATTCCACGCAGTGAACCAGCTCCTAGGAGATTCCATCCATACACAGCTTCTCGGGTTGTAAGAAACAAACCCTTCTGATGCTGACATGGTAGGTGGGCTCCCAGAAAGACATGAGGTCTCTCTCCTAATTCAAGTTCTGATCCAGCTAAGGCCAGGAATGGTCTCCAAAACCTTTGACAATTCCACAAGAGAGCAACTCGAGTAGAAATGCTCAAATCAAGGGGATGTAAGGGCAGAGGAGGAAGACTGGAGAGCCGAAAACGGATGCAAGAAAACACTAGAATGAGCCGATGGGTAAATTCTAGGCACCAACATACAGATGAGCTCTTACAAACCAACAACCAACCCTCAAATGCCGCTGAGTGGACTCTGACTCATGGCGACACACAAGTGTCAGAGTTCAGCTTTGCGCCACAGTGTTTTCAATGGCTGGGTTTCTGGAAGAAGGCAGCCAGGCCTTTCTTCATGGTGCCTCTGGGTGGATTCAAACTGATACCCTTGCAATTATCCACCAATCACATTAACCGCAGGCACCATCCAAGACTCCGGATCTGTTTAAAAGCCTCACCTAGGGCAGCTCAGCACTCTAACCTTGTGTCCCAGCCAAGTGGCTCCCACCCTGAGCCCCTGGCCCGCCCACCTCCTGAGCAGCAGCTTGGGGTGATTCTTGCTCTCCAGGTTCTTGTCGATGAGGTCGGCCAGCAGCTGCTTGAGTACATCGGTGGCGTACTCCAGCTTGCTCTGCAACACTGTCATAATGAGTGACGCCACGTTGCCACGGTCGCGCATGGAGAAGCTGCGCTGGGACTCAAGGGTGCGGATGAAGGACAGCAGGAAGACCTTGTTGTTGATCAGCTGTGCAAAGAGCTTCAGGCCCTTCTCCACGCGCTCCTGTCGGTATCCTGGGGCCTGCGGGGAAGACAGTGGGGTCCTGACTGCCATCTGTGGGGAGGAGCCTAGCCCTCTACTCAAGTGTTAGCTCAGCTGACCTATGCCACCAGACCCTCTCTAGACTCAGAAACTGCATGAAGTATCTTACTGAAGCTATAGCACAGCCCATATGATGGTGGGATTTGAACCTAGGCCCTGGCAGATTCAAGTTCAGGAACAGCTAAGGAGGGACCCTGTGCAGGCAGACCATCCTCATACTCCCCAGGAACTGTGGGAGGACAGGGCTGCCAGAGTTAACACCCCATTCACCAAGTCTGGGCTTCTGCTGACTGAAGATGACCCTTTAGCTCAGGAGCCCTGTTGACATCCAGCGGTCTCGGCAACAGGACTCCCAGGTCACACTGTGTCACCTGCGGCAAGCCTTTTGGAACGTGAGGAAGAGGACGTGCCACCATTTCAATGGAGCTCCCAGCCCTAATGCCTGACAGTCATAGGTAATCTTTGTGAGACTCTGCTCCAACAGGGAAGGACAGGAAGACTCCTGCATCTGGAGGTGCCTGGAAGCGAGCAGGTGGACTATCCACTCCGCACACACGAGTCAGCAGTGAATTAGGCACGGGACATGTGAAGGAGGCACTTAAAGACCTATAGCAGCCTGATTCATACCTAACAGCCTCCAAACGGAAGCTCCCAGTGGCAACAGTCAGATGGATGGACAGAAGGAAGGCTTGTGGTACACTCACAGTAGGATACCACACAGTTGTGAGAGCAAGGTTTGTTGCTACTCACAATAACAGGGATGGGAGAATCAGACTTGGGAGAGGACGGCCTATAGAAAATCCAAACACAACGCCAGGGAATTAAGTCCGACTCATAGAGACCCTGGTGTTGTTAAGTGCTGCCAAGTCTGACTCATAACGACCCCATATAGGGTTTCTGAGAGGCGGATGATGAGTTTGAACCGACCTTGCAGTTCAAACCGACCTCGTGGTCCAGTGCTTAAGCTATCGTGTCACGCCAACCCTATGTTGTTACTAAGTATCCTTGAGTCGGTTCTGACTCATAGCGACCCTGTATAGGGTTTCCAAGGAGCAGCTGGAGAGCTGGAACCACCGACCTTGTGATTCAAACAGACCTTGCGGTCCAGTGCATTATCCTGCAGAGCCACAATAGGACTCCCACCAACCCTACAGGGCACAGTAAAATTGTTCCTTAGGGTTTCCAAGGCTATAACTCTCTTTTCCTCCAAGTGACTGGTGGGACTGAACCAACGACATCTCGGTTAGCAGCCCAATGAGTAAAGCACAGCACCAGCAGGCAGTTAAGTGCCATTGGGTCAGATTCAACTCACAGCGACCCTGTATAAGGTTTCCAAGGAGTGTCTGGTGAGTTTGAAGCTCCAACCTTCCATTCAAACCAACCTTGCCATCGAGTTCTTATCCTATAGCGCAACACCGTTGTTGTTGTTATGTGCCGCGGAGTTGGTTCCGATTCATAGCAACCCTGTACAGGGTTTCAGAGGCTGTAAATCTTTACCGAAGCAGAAAGCCTCATCTTTTCCTGCAGAACAGCTGGTAGTTTCAAACTGTTAACCTTGTGGTTCGCAGTCCGATTTGTAACCACTACGCTACCAGAGGGCCACACTGTAGATGGTGGCTACTTTATCTGTGCTTCCCTTGTGACTGTAAACTGGGAGAGACTGAGACAACAGGCGAAGAACAAGCTTCATGGGCCCAGAGCCACAGAAGGGGACAGACACACATTCGTCCATGCTCCTGTTCCCAGCTGGCAGGGCCAAGATCCTCTTGTATCTCCTGCCCTGGGTCCAGCCAGTTGGCTTCCCACCTCCAACTCTATAGGAGCACTCTCACTGATGCCCCTGGGTGTGTGGTCTTAGCGGCTCCTGCAGGCCTGGAGGCTGGTAGGAAACATGTATGTTCCCACACCCAGTCCACTATCCTGTCCCTTGCTCAGGGTAGGTACTTGGATGGAAGCAGTTCTCAGAAGCATCTTTGCGCCTCCTCTCACACCTCACTGGCCCAGGCCTGGGCCTCTGCATGCCTCAGGCTGGGTCTCCTTCGTTCCCCTTCACCAAGGGACAAGTGGCCACCCACCTTCCTGGCCTTCCATTTAATCCATTGCAGATCCTATGGCCTCACACACATGTACATGGCTGCAGATCACCAAAGTGCATTTCCATGGTCTTCCTGAGCCCCACCATGATCCATGCTGGCCACCTTGTTGGTGCTGAATATGTTGGATTCCATTTGGAAGTGTATCCATTCCAGGAGACAGAGTACAACTAACTGCCCCCTAGGGTTCCCTAAGCTTTCCTCTCCATGGAGGTTCAGCATTGGCTGCTAACTGAAAGGCCAGCAGGTTGGACTCACCCAGCAGGTCTGAGGAAGAACAACATTGTTATACACAGATTTCAGTCTGAGAAACCAGTCATGCTCTGTCATATGGGGTTGCTGTGAAGCAAACTCTATTTGTCGACATACAGCAACAGCAACAATCTTTGTAGGAGCAAAGTTCAAAGCCTTTCTTCCAGAAGCTCCTCCTGTAGCCACTGTGCCACCAGAGATCTTGTTGCTAAGTGCTGTTGAGTCGGTTCCGACTTGGTTCTGACTCATGGTGAGCCTGTATAGGATTTCCATGGAGCAGCTGGTGAGCTTGAACCGTTGATCTTGCAGTTCAAACTGCCTTTGCAGTCCAGTGCACTAACCTGTAGCGCCACATTACACACATTATTGTAATGATGTTTCCTAATCACATTGCCAGGGACCAGGTGTGTTCCCTGTAACAGTCTCTCTGAGAGGTTGAAATCGTGGGTGTATGGTAGATTTGCTACATGTTTTGAAATGGTGGGTGACTAGTGACTGAGCTACCCCATCCCCTGATAGCTTACTTGCTCAGCTGGAGGCGAAAGAGGAGACCCTTCCCTCTACATTTGACCCCTCATGCCAACTAGTAGGAATCCTGGTGGCTCAAAGTGTTGGAAACCATAACTTGACACTAGCCAACAGCCTCGTGGGAATGTTTCTGAACTCAGAAAGCAGTAGGGTGGAACTCCTCTAGGTCTCCATCAGCTGGGAAGGCAGGGTGGCCTCTTCTAGAGACTTCATTCACAGAACACACACACGCTCACTCAACAACCAAACAAGGAGAAACCTGAGGGAGCCTTGGTCTTCCTGGAGGAGCTGCTGTGTCCACATGGAGGCACATGGCCTGCTCCCTTCCTCAGGAGGGCCCACATCGTCATTGCTCGGGGCCAGTACCTGGAAACCACATGGCTGGGCTGCTTTTACTCCTGGGCATTGTGAACCCTGTAATTTATCTCATGCTCCTTTGTTGCTCTGGTGGCCGATTTTCGATTCATCCTAAGAAGAATCCCGAGGAGGGCCAGTCCAGTGCAGTGTGGTGGCCGTGTGTGCAGGCTCTGGCCCTGCCCTCACTGCTACGTGCCCCTGGACTATGAGCAAAGGTTCTGCCTTTCAGTTTCGTGGCCTGTAAGTGTGTGCTGACTTCAGAGTGATCTACAGAGGGTTCAGGGAGTGAAGGGAAGCCACTATCGATGACTATGGCGTGTGACTCTTAGTTTGCCGTGACTCCCTCACTTACATGCATTATTTTTCTCTGGCATGCTCCTGATTCCAAATCTCTTCTAGAATACAGCAAACTATGAACATACAAGTGTGCCAGTGATGAAGCTAGACAATAAATGGGATAAAATATTTGAGAGATGATGTTTCTGAAGACCATGTGATCTCATCACTCACAACGTGCCACGCTCTACTTATCCAAGTATTTAGTGAGTGCCAAGTAAGTGCTAAACTCCATTACACTGTGATTGCTTAAACAAGACTCCACAGATCCCTAATGACTTTGCCAGGCCTCTTGTTTAGATATATTTGTCAAGTGTTTCTGGGGTAGGAGCTTCTATTCCACTCCCTAGCCCCCTGAGAACAAGTACCTGCTTCCCACCTCTGCCCTCAGGCAACTGTGCTTTGGGTCTGTGGCCCCATCTCCCCAAGAGCACTGGGCTGGTGCCACCAAGCTGGAGGTTTCCCCACCCTCACCTAGCACCCCCTCTTAATGCAGAGTCTGGAATTGAGGGTCACCGACATCACCCCACCACCCTGGGTCTCTCACCTCCAGGTCCCGGAGGACAGGGTGGTCCTCGATCCCCGGAAACAGCACCCGCATGGTGTAGGTCCTGTAGTCTAGGAAGGGGATCCCGGCACCGTCCAGGTCACTGGTCAGCTCATGGATGTCTGTCTGCAGCTCAGCAAAGGCTGAAATGAAGAGCAGACAGAGAAGGGGCTGAGCGTGGAGCCCTCAGATGTGCTATGCAGGGATGATGTGATGCTGGTAAGTCATTGGGATGAGTAGCATGGGAGAGAACACAGGGAAGCCTGCTTTGGATGGGAAGACACCTCCAAAGACCTGTGCTTTTGCTTGGGTCCAGGAGGGGCTTTCTGTCTGAAGATGAGACTTGGGTTCACAAAATGGATTGAGGGTAGGGCTGATGATGGAGGGAGAGGCTCCCCCCTATTTGTCAGCCAGGGCCATCCTGGTTCCGTCTTTGTTTTACCTGAGTTTCCTCATAAATTTCCAATAAAGGAAAGATGTCTGAAGTCCCAGATCTGGATCGGGGTTCATAGGAACCGTCACACCTCCCAGGGGGTTCAGAGAGTTACCTGCTCATGGACAGACTTCTACTTAATTATTGGGAGGGGATATAGCTTGCCTTCTCACTGGAGGGGGCCAGTTTGTGGAGTCAGCAGGTGGCCAAGGGGACAAACTGCTATCACACTCATCCTGGGCACAGTACAGTGTGTGTGTGTGTCTGTATAAATGTGTGTGCATGAGAGTATGTGAGTATATGAATACATGCTATGTGCCTGTGTGTGCATAAATGTGTGTAAGCGTGCATATATGTGAGTGTAGGATTGTATATATGTGGGCATGGGGGTGGTGGTGGTGGTGTGCCGTGGAGTCGGTGTAAGGTTTCTGACACTGTAAATCTGTACGGGAGCAGAAAGCCTCATCTTTCTCCTGTGGAACGGCTGGTAGTTTCGAACTGCTGACCTTGAGGTTAGCAGCCTGACTCATAACCATTATGCCACCAGAGCTCCTACATGTAGCTAGCATAAAGAAATGTGTGTATGCATATGTGAGTGTATGTGTGGTTGCATGTATAGATAGGTATATGTATATCTGTGAGCGTGTGTGCATATGTGTATAGGTATGTATGTGTGTGTTTGAGTGGTCATGTATGTATATACACATGTCTATGTGGGTAAGAATGTGGTAATCAAGTGGGTGTGTTAGTGTGGAAGTTGTGCACATACGTGTGCTACAGGTCAGGTTGGTGAAGACCTGGCTGGACCTCTTCTGAGTCGTGCAGGATTCCTCCTGGTCTGTGGCAAAGTCTCTCAGAGCCCACCTGCCTGCCTGCCCCACCCAACCGGCCCCGCCCCGTGCACGCCCCGCCCCTCCTGGGATCCTGGAAGGGGCTGTTCCGGTACATGCTCTGATGAGGTTTCCTTCCAGCCAGCTCCCACGCTTTCTCCTGACGCCCAGGCAGAGAGGCCTCCTGTCTACTAGCTCCCGGTCTTCGGGAACCTTCTGAGGGGACCTCTCTACACCTCTTGGCGGCCCTCCCAGCCAGTCTCAGCAGGCGGGAGGAGAAGCAGAGAGAGCTGGCTTTTTATCGGTCGGCAGTTTTCCGCTAAGCTACCGGAGCGCCTCAAACATTCAAAGCTGCGCACCTGCCACGCATAAAAGAGATTCTAATCACTACACCTAATTAGAGGGAAGAGTACATTGCGAAGAAAAAAATTAAGCAGCGTAAATATAATAAAAGGCAGTAATTAACAGTCCCACAAGGCGGATGCTGTGTTGGCAGCTGAAGGAAGCAGAGAGGGGCGGACTGGACCACTTCCCCAGCGAACAGCCCTGCATCCCGGGTGGGAGCAGAGCCCCGGATGCTGCCCACTGACTACGTGGAAATCGCCCCCAGAGCGGCCTGGGGGTTGCACAGAACTATGTACTGAGGCCTACAAGGCAGCGATTTCACGTCATAGCTGGGTTTGTAAGTTTTCAACACAAGCTGGGAAACAGTCTTCTGTTTCTCGGATCAACCCTACTGCCTTGCCTGCCTGCTAAAGAAGAAGGCTGAAGATGCGCGAACACGCCACCCCAAGGCACCCGGGTCTCCCCTGGGTGGTGCATGAGGCCGCTCAGCCTGAAGGTGGCTCTAGGAGACACAAAATGAGTGTCATCTTCGGTGGGAAAAGGAGGGGTGGGGCCCCAGTGTCGTCTGGGCCTGCAGGACGCGTGGTCTGGACACGGGAGCAGAGCTGCCCACGCAGTCCAGTACACTCTTACTCACACCGTATCCAAGGTACACACCCTCTCAACACACTGGTATGTACACACAGCTCTCAGAATACTCACACCTCACTCATGCACAACGTATACATCACACCCAAACATTCAGTCACACAGTTCACATTCGTAGACATGTGCACACCAAACCCCACGCATTCAGATACACGCATCCTCTCTCACACTCTCACACAGACACTCGTATACTCCACCACTCACACACACATTCATGCACGCTGGCTCACCAATGCTCGCCTGTTCCCAGTCCAGTGGGTGCTCTGGCGCAGTGGTCTCTCACCTTCCTTACACTCCAGGGCCACGCGGGACTCCAGGTTGTCCATCTGCATCTGCAGCCGCTTCAGGGTGAGGTCACTCTCTCGGGACTTACGCTTGTAGGCGATGAGAACCGCCACGATGAAAATGATGAGCAGGCCACCGGCCACGGCAATGCTGACTATGGCGGGCAGACTGAGTGGGCTGTCAGGGGCGATATACACCATGCCCGGGGAGTACTCCATGCCGCCGACCCGGGCCTGGGGGCACAAAGCAGGGGGGCATGGGTGGGGTGGAGTATGTGGGCCCACCCAAGTTGCTGAGCAGCTGGAGACTGGGCGAGTTGTGAGCAGACACGGACTGGGCACCCCATACAGAACTGCACAGCCCCGGTGGCATCTTCATGTGGAACAGTGTCCTCAGTGTCCTGGGCAGAATCCAGCTCCAGGACACTGGGCACTGGCCCCCAGCATACCCAGCCCCACTGTCAGGATGCACCAGAGGCAGGCAGATGATTCTGCACATTACTGAATGCTATATTGGTTGGCAGTGTGGAAAGAATGACCGAGTGCAAGAGATGTTGGGGACGGGGTAGGAGGAGGAGTTAGGGTGGTGAGTAGTTAGGCAGAGCTTGGGGAACAGCCAGAATCCCACCCTGCAGAGCCCTGGTGGCCTGGCCCCCTGCATCCAGGCCACCCCAGCCCAGGCCAGCAGCCTCACCATCACTTTGTGCCTCCCGATGAGGTTGGGGGATTCGCAAAGCAGTTGCACATCCGACACGGTCACTGTGCAGGGCTTCTCCCCCACCAGCACCGTGTAGTTGAGCTTCACGTTGCCCCCAGCCACCGGCGGGATCAGGTTCTTGCCCTGCATGGACAGGAGCATCCAGGGTCAGCACCCAGCTATTGGCTGGCAGCCCTGTCTCCCCAACAGGAGGCCCCACCCTGCAGGTGACCTGAGGGAGAGGCTACGTTCTATAATGAGTCCAGGCAACTCATGGTCAGTCTATTACCCTATGTTGCCCACTTCCTTCCAGTCAGCACTCTTTTCAGCTTATCTGAAACCAACCCTCAGAATCCTTCTTAACACAGAATCCCTCGCTATCACTCCAAACCCATTGCTGATTCATGTAGGACAGAGTTGAACTGCCCGCCTAGGGTTTCTGAAGATATAAATCTGTACGCAAACAGGCTGCCTCATCTTTTTCCAGGAGAGCGGCTGATGGATTCAAACTACCTTTTGATTTGATGCCCAAGTGCTTAACCCATGGTGACACCAGGGCTCCTTCCATCACTATGGGTTGATCCAGAGTGGCAGCTGAGTTCAAATGAATGTGCAGTCTATGTTCCAACATAACTCTATGCTATGCTTGCATGGAACTGTAGAGCTGTCAGCCTGTGCCCCCAATTCCTGTGCTCTTGGGTCACCTGCCCAGGGCATCTCTGGCTGCTCTGATCATAGCCCTGGAAGAGACTTTTCTCTAGATTCGCACTCAGAGCAGAGTCCAGCACAGAGTCTCAGGGCATCTGCCCCAGCCTACCTTCAATATGATGGGTGTGCCTGGCTTGAGTTCCAGGATCCCCGAGGGTCCAAAGGCCTCAAACACCGGGTTGGGATAGTAGGTGAAATTGGTCTTGTTGAGGATGAGCAGGGATTGGACATTGTCAAGGATGAAGCCAAACTCCTCGGGCCTCTCAGTCAGGTCAGACTGTTGGTCAGGCCCCAGGGTGAGGGCCGGGGCCTGACAGGTCATTTCCGTGTCGTTGAGAACCTCACAGATCTGTGGGAGGAGCCAGAGGGAACTCCTGACTCTGCAGCAGGTCTCCATGCCCCGACCAGGGGAACCATCTCCAGGTGTGTTCAGCATCACATGCAACCGACATGAGGGACCATGGAGCAGCCAGGACCACCCGACCTGGGCACTCCAGGTGGCAGCTGGGTAGCGGCACCCACCTCTGTTTTCACTCCTGAGCAACTATGGGCTGACTGTCCAAGTCATCAGCAGTGGGATTTGAGGGGGTGGGGGCAAGCTGCAGAGGGAGTGCTTCCGGCCCCACCTCCCAGCACTGGAGATGTGCAAGCACATGTGCATGGGGGCCTGCCGTAGGCCCTGGGAAGCCCACACCTCTAGGGAAGCACCCCAGAAACACTCACGTTGATGTGCTCCTTCCCGCCATGCTTGGCCCGGATCTGAGGGTTCTGTATGAGGTCCAGGTTCGTCCCCCACACAGCAATGGGCGTGTTCCCACTGGCCAGAAAAAGGAGAAGATGTGAGGCTCGTTGGACTAGGGCAAGCAATAGAATCAGTGACTACGACTACAATGTTAAGGAACATGGAATGAGGGCCCTGGGGACCACAACAAGATGCTGATAGAATAGGAAGGATGTGTGATCCATGCATTCAATGCAGTGATGACCCTGGGCAAGTTTGCAGGTGAACCTCAGGGAGGCCCTGTCCCCAACACAGCCCCTTGGGTCTCCCAGGCCTCCTCTTCTTCACAGTTCCTGATGTCTCAGGGTCTTTTCACCTTTTCCTGGGCTTAATAGAAACCTTGCTCCAGATGGTCATCTTGAGGGACAGGTTCCCTTCAACAGTGCTGAGAGGCCCCCTCACTGAGAAGAGCAGGGCAGTCACATTACTATGGCCCCTTTGGCGGCTCTGAGAGGTGAGGCTGGGCCAGGTGTGAGGGCTGTGACTCCTCTGATGGGGAAGGGTCAAGTCACTCCCCTGTCCTCATGGCAGTGGAGAGCTGGTATTGGGGGTGGGAAGAGAGATGCCCCCGGGCTGTAGCTTCCTTGGGGGCCACGCAGAGGAAAGTGAAAAACGGCCTTACCCATGACCAAGAGAGCGTCTTCGAGGGGCATCCTGCTCCCCAAAATGGGATTCAGCAACTCAGTTAGAGGGGCATCCTGCTCCCCGAAATGGGATTCACCCAAAACGGGATTCAGCAACTCAGTTAGAGGCCTGGTGGGGCTAGACAGTTCCTGACCCACATTCATTTCCACCCTCCGGTACTCTAACGACTCTCCCAGGTATGCCCACAGCGCACACACATGTGCATGCACACACACACACACACTCAGGAGAGTCTTCTGACACCCAAAAGGGGTCCTTCCGTTCAGAGAGTTCCTGTGGGCTTCCCTCTCCCCATCTCATCAGCCATGGATGCCACACACCTGTGTCATGGATGCCTCAAACTGTGTCATGGATCACACACACTGGTATCATGGATACCACACACCTGTGTCATGATCCCATGCACCTGCATAATGGGTCTCACACACCAGTGTCATGGTACCACACACCTGTGCCATGAATCTTACACACATATGTCATGGTCACACACACACACACACACACCTGTGTCATGTATCCTACATACTCATGCCATCAATCCCACACACCTGTGTTATTGATCCCAACACCTGTATTAATTCCTAAGATGCCTGTGAAAGAGCCGATAGATGAGACACGCTAGACTCAGGGAGGTTATAACGTTCACTGTCCCTGGGATGCTGAGTGGTGGAGCTTGTTGACCCCAAATGCTTAGTGCCTTCCCTAGCTGCCCCTGGATGCCCCAGTACACCTCTGCAGGGCCATCTCCTGAGAGACTCCACAACATGGAAAAGCCAACTTGGGCTGTCTGTCCACAGCACTGGCGGGAGTGACAACCCCACTCACACCCACTGGACCAAGGTCCTTGGGGTACTGAGAGATTTAGAACTAAGAGAGATTTAGAGCTCTGTGGTATCATTTCAACTGCTGTTGTTGTTAGGTGCCATGGAGTCATTTGTGACTTGTAGAAACCCTACTCACAACAGAATGAAACACTGCTTGGTCCTGTATCAGCCTCACAATTGTTGTTAACTTTGAGTCCATTGCTGCTGCCATTGTGCCAATCCATCTCACTTGGGGTCTTCCTCTTTTTCACTGACCCTCCCCTTTACCAAGCATGATGTCCTTCTCCAGGAACTGGTCCCTCCTGATAATATGTCCTCAATATGAGAGATGAAGTCTTGCCATCCTGAGTTACCTTTAGCAAAATTTTACTTGCATTTGGTATTGATGATATTGTCTGATAATTTCCACATATTGTTTGGTCACCTCTCTTTGGAATGGACACAAAAATGGATCTCTTCTGATCAATTGGCCAGGTAGCTGTCCTCCACGGGTCTTGACTAGGATGTATGATCACCTCCAGTGCCACATCAGTCTGTTGAAAGATTTCAATTTGTAGTTCATCAATTCCTGGACCTTGTTCTTTGATCATATGCTACCTCTTGAAATGACTGAACCTGACCATTTCCTTTTGGTACACTGAATCTGTGTCTTCCTTTTCTCTTCTTTTGGTACATTTTCCTTTTCTCTTCTTTTGGTACATTTTCCTTTTCTCTTCTTTTGGTACTTTCTGCAGTAGTCAGTGCTTTGCCCATTGAATCCATCAATGCTGAAAGTTGAGGCTTGAATTTTTCAGTTCTTAGAGCTTGAGAAATGCTGAGCATGTTCTTCTCTTTTGGTTTTCTAACTCTAGATCTTTTCATTATAATACTTGACTTTGTCATCTTGAGCTGTATTTTGAAATTTTCTGTTCAGTAATGTTACCTCCTCATTTCTTTCATTTGCTTTGGTATCTTTGTTGGAGAGCAAGTTTCCTAGTCTCTTCTGACATCCATTTTGGGTTTTTTCTTCTTTCTTGTCTTCTTAATGACTTTTTGCTTTCTTCCCGATGATATTCTTGATGTTATCCCACAACTCTTATAGTCTTCATTATTAGTGTCTAATTCATCAAATCTGTTCTACAAACGATCTCTACATTCAGGTAGGATATGTTTGCAGTCATAATCTGGCTCTTCTGAACTTTTAAAAAATTTCTTCAGCATCAGTCTGAACTTGTAATTGAACAATTGATGGTCTGTGCCACAGTCTTCCCCTGGCCTTATTTTGGTTGATGATATGGAACTTTTCCATCGTCTCTTTTCAAAGATGTAGTCAGTCTGATTTCTATGTATTCCACCTGGTGAGGTTCATGTGTATAGTATCTTTTATGTTGTTTAAAAAAGGTATTCTACAATTAATAAGTCATTGGTCCTGCAATCTCCAGCATCATTTCAATTACCAAGACTATATTTTCAAACTACTGATCCTTCCTCTTTGTTCCTAACCTTTGCATACTAATTAACAGTATTCATCAATATATCTCGATTATGTTTGATCAATTTCAGACTGAAGATTTTGGCAGAATTCTTTAATTTCATCATCACTGGCTTTAGTGGTTGGTGCATAAAGTTGAAGAATAGTGGTATTACCTGGTCTCCCTTTTAGGCATATGGGTATTATCCTATCAGACAGCAATATAATGCTGTCTGATAGGATAATACCCATATGCCTAAAAGTTAGAGTACCAGAGGGTGGAAATGAACGTGGGTCAGGAACTGTCTAGCCCCACCAGGCCTCTAACTGAGATCTTGAAATGTTCTTGTTGATGATGAATGTGGCACCATTCCTCTTCAATTTGTCACTCTTAGCATAGTAAACTATGTGATTGTCAGATTCAAAATGGCCAACACCAGTCTGTTTCAGCTCATCAATGCCCAGGCTATCGATCTTTGTGCGTTCCATTTCATTTTTGACAACTTATAATTTTCCTAGATTCATACTTCTTACATTCCATATTCTGATTATTAATGGGTGTTTACAATGGTTTCTCCTCATTTTGAGTTGTGTCCCATCAGTAAATAAAGGTTCTAAAAGTCCATTTGTATCATCATGGCCAATTCTACTTTGAGGAGGCAGCTCTTCCCCCAGTTGTATTTTGAGTGCCTTCCAACCTGAGGGACTTCTTTTCCGGTGCTATAGCTGACAGTATTCTGGAGCTATTTATAATGTTTCAATATTCCATATTCTGGTGCTATCTGATAGTGTTCTATTGCTATTCATAATGTTTTCAGCAGCTAAACATTCAGAAGTAGTTCACATCTCCTTCCTAGTTGGTCCAGTCTGAAAGCTCAGCTGAAAGCTGTCCACCATGAGCGATGCGACTGGCATTTAGAATTCCAGCATCATATCTACACACAAGCTAACACAGTATAACATGCTGACAGATGAGTCCTGGATTCCAGCTACTAGGATTCCAAAACCAGCCAAACGGTAGAAACAATGAAAGACCAATGGGTTCCAGGGATTCAGGTGGGTTGTTGTTGTTGTTGTCAGGTGCCATCGAGTCGGAACCAACTCAAAGTTACCCCATGCACAGCAGAACAAAACAATGTCCGATCCTGGGCCAACCTCACTACCGCTGCCACACTTGACACCACCAATGATGCCACCTGGCTGATCCATCTCGTTGGGGGTCTTCCTCTTTTTCTCTGACCCTCCACCTTACCCAGCATGACATCCTTCTCCAGCGACTGTTCTCTCTGGACAATGTGTCCAAAGTAGGAGAGACGAAGCTTAGCCATCTCGGCCTCCAAGGAGCACTCTGGCTGCACTTCTTCCAAAACAGATCTATTGGTTCTTTTGGCTGTCCATGGCACTTTCAGTATTCTCCTCCAACACCACAACTCAAAAGCATCAATTCTTCTACGATCTTCCTTATTCACTGTCCAGTTTTCGCATCCATATGAGGTTATTGAAAATATCATGGCTTGGGTCAGGCACACCTTAGTCCTCAAGCTGACATCTCTGCTCTTCAGCACTTTAAAAAGTTCCTGTGCAGCAGATTTGCCCAATGCAATACGTCATCTGATCTCTTGACCACTGCTTCCGTGAGTGTTGACAGTTGATCCAAGAAGAATGAAGTCCTTGACAACTTCAATCTCTTCTCCATTGATAAGAATGCTGTTTATTGATTGGTCCAGTGGTGAGGATTTTTGTTTTCTTTAACATTGAGATGTAATCCATATCTAAGGCTGTGCTCTGTGATCTTCATAAGTATATGTTTCAAGTCCTCTTCACTTTCAGCAAGCAAGGTTGTACCATCAGCATATCACAGGTTGTTAATGAGTCTTCCACCAATCCTGATGCCATGTTTTTCTTCAGGTGGGTTAGGGATGCAGATATGTTACTCAGGGAAGTTTCATGACATAACAAATTTGTGAAAACCCACAGGGCTGTACAACACAAAGAGTGACCGATGTAATCTGTGGATATCAGTTAACGATAATGAATCAGCATTGGTTCTTCAATTGCAGCAAGCATTCCACATGAGTACAAGATGTAAACAATAAAGGGAGAGTGTTCAGGGGGTGGCGGGGCATGGTGCATGGAACTCATTGTTGTTTCTGCAAGTAAAACTGCTTTAAAAAATTCCATTGTTAAATAAAAATTAAAAGAGAAATCACCCAGTGCATTGGTATAGGCCCAGAGGCCCAGGAGGGTCATGCCACATGCCCACGTCAGCTATGAGGGGTGGGCCAGGACCAGCACTCCCAGCCCAAGGGGCTTCCTATACCAGTCCTGGATACCTGTGCCCCTCCTTCTCCAACATTCATCCAGCATACATCTTGGGCACTGGGGAAGCAGAAACACGACCAGTCCCAGCCCTGGAGGAGTTTTCAGTAGAAGAGTGGACAGAAAGTAACAAGGACCCAGAAGCAGGATTTCGGGGGCACTGAGGTGGGCTAGAGTGGCCAGGACAGACTTCCCCTCAGAGCAGGATGACATGGCATGATCCTTCTCTTCTCACACGTCCCTCAGCCTGAAGGCAGGCGGGAATTACTGCCCACTTTTGCTAGATGTGAGGTTTGGTGAGCAGATTGTCAACCATACTCAGTCACTGTGGGAGGTGGGAAGATGCTCACAGTGCACCTCTCACCCTTAAATGGGGAATCTGATCTTGTGGATCTCCTCAGAGGTGCTCTTAGGAACAAGGGAGCCCCATAATCCCAGTTTGTGAGCTCCCAGGGCAGGACTGGGCTCCATAATTTTCCTTAGAAGTTGGCCTTGGATAACTCTCCTTGGAAGGTAGTCCAGGGGGGTCACTCCTACCTGACAATGCTCCATTCAGGTTCAATCCGCACGATGGTGGGGTCCTCCACGTACTGGAAGGACAGGTCCTGGTGGACCCTGGCCCGGTCTACCTGCACCGTCACCTTCATCTCCAGCACCTCCTCTGAGGACGTGGTGTTGCAGACGATGTAGGATGGGGACCGCCTGGGGGAGAGAAGATGACAGTACTGGACCCTGGGCTCTTGAGGAGGGATGGGGGTTGTGGGTCAGGGCACCCCATGCCCCTCTTCCCTGTATGTCAGAACTCTTGTGGGCAAAGGGTGAGCAAGGCATCAGGTGCAGAGCACTGAGAATGCCAGACCGAAGGCCCCAGGGCTGAGCTGTCACTGCCCTCAGAATGGCTCCATCAGGAAACCCTCTCTCCAGAGAACCTTGTTCAGGTGAAGGAGTGACCACCACCTTCTCACCACCACCTTCTCTCTGAGTGTCTCTCCTGTCTACCCATTGGCTTGCAGAGGCGCACGTCTGGGGCTGGTAGTGGGACCCAGGGAGACAAAGCCTCGGCTCCTCGAGGCTTCCAGCAGGCCCCGCTGGCTTAGACCCAGGGTGGGAGTTCTAGAGTAGATCCAGTGTTCTGTGGAAACCTGGGGCTCTGGGAAGTGAGTTGTTTGGTGGCAACAAGGAAAATGGAGACCAAAGACACACCACCCAGGAGGGAGCTGAAGGAAGTACTGGCAGACTTTGTTTTATTGAGCTTGGCTTTCCTGCGCTTCATGAATATTGAAGGCTTGTGGGAACCCTACATGAAGCAAATCTATGGACACCATTTTCCCAATAGCATGTGTTCACTTGATGTCTCTGTGTCATGTTTTGGTCGTGTTCCCAACATTTAAAAGTTGTTCATAATGCGATGACACACTGAATAGACTATGTTGTTGTTGTTGTTAAGTGCCATCGAGTCGGTTCCGACCCATAGCGACCCTGTACAGGGTTTCCGAGGGTGTAAATCTTTACGGGAGTAGAAAGCCTCATCTTTCTCCCGCAGAGCGGCTGGTAGTTTCGAACCGCTGACCTTAAGGTTCGCAGCCCGATTCGTAACCACTACGCTATAGCATAGCATAAATAAAACCTTTATACGCAGTGAGGAATCAAAAAAACGTGTGCAATTTGCTTTACGGCAATATTTGCTTTGCTGTTGTGATATGGAACCACACCTGTGATATCGCCAAGGTCTGTCTACCTGTATTTCCAAGGAGTTACGTTGGGAAGCTTCATCTCCAGAGACTAACAGGCTGTGTGTGAGGTCTGCCCTGTGGAGATGACACACTGAGTTTTCCCTCCCTCAGGGTTACCTGTGGAAGAGGCAGGGCTGCTTCCCAAACATCACAATCACATTGCTGCCAGCATTCAGGTTGCTGCCTGTGATGGTCACCTGGGTGCCCCCAGACATAGGTCCCCGGTTTGGCTTCAGATCCAAGAGAGTCAGCGTCTGTGTGGGGAAGGGTCAATGTGAAACACACTTAGATGGGGCAAGGTTTCTGGAGGGCCAGAGACAGGTACCCTACTTTACTGCAGCCAGCTGCCATTGGAAACTAGTACTAGATGCCTCCCAGAAAACATGTGCCATCTTCTTAGCAGATACATGGTAGAGTATGAGAAACCATAGTTTATGTTGATGTTGTTGTGAAGTGCCGTCAAGCGGATTCTGACTCACAGTGACCCTGTATAGGATTCCTGAGAAGTGGCTGTTGGTTTTGAACGGCTGACCTTTCAGTTAGCAGTCCAGTGCTTATCTTATAGTACCACACCAAGACTCCACCTATATTCTACAGGGAGCTTCGAAAGTTCATGGAAAAATGGAATTACCTGATCATGGAATTGTCCCATGAAACTGTGGCACCGTAAGATAATGCACTGGACCCTAAAGTCAGTTTGAACTGCAAGGTCAAGTGGCTCGAACTCACCAGTCACTCTTGGAAACCCTTTACAGGGTCACTATGCACTGGAACGGCACTTAACGACATCATATGCTTACTAGGGAGCGCGGTGGCTCTGTTGAATAAATGCTGGATTGCGAACCACAAGATTGGCAGTTTGAGGCCACCAGTGGCTTCATGGGATAAAGATGAGGCTTTCTGCTCCTGCGAAGATTTACAGCCAGGGAAGCCCTAGACAGGGTCACTATGGAACAGACTTGAAGACATTTAACAACACCCACTTAATGGCTTTTGAAGTGTCCACCTTTACATCTTCATACATCTGTATCTAAACATTTATCTGTGTATCTATGTGCACTGATAAGTCACAGGTCAGTCACAGGGGCTTATTATGAAGACATCTTAAGAAAATGGAAAACTGCATTAGTGAGAAAAAGGCCCAAAATGCTGAAGATGTTTTCCCATGACAACAATGCACCTGCTCATTCCTCTAGGAAAGCAAGAACTATGTGAGAATTTCCTTGGGAAACTTACCTCAAATGCCCTAGCAACAGATCTTACCCCTTAAGAATTCTTTTTGTCCTCAAGACACAAAGAACATTTAAAAGAAACATGATTTGGCTCCCTCAAGAATGTTGACAGAGCTGTGTTAATGTGGTACAAATCAAAGAGAGGTGAATGTGGCAATATTGTAGGGTAAGTACTAAACTGCAAACCCCAAGGTTGGCAACTCAAGTGCACCAGCCACTCTTCCAGAGAAAGACGAGGCTTTCTGCTCCTGCAAAGATTTACAGCCTCAGAATCCTTAAACGGGGGCTCATGAGTCCGAACCAAGTGGAGGGCACTTAACAATAGCCAGAGCGCAGAATTATTTGGGAAAGGGATTGTTGTCATGGCTGCTGTTCAAGTGTCATCAACTTGTTTCCGACTCATAGCTGGTGACTTTGAACCACCAACCTTGTAGTCCAGTCTTATCCTACATTGTCACGCCAGGACTCCAAGAGAGATGGAAACTGTCTTCAGAAGTGCAGAGACTTAGATGGAGGAGATGTTGAGAAACAATGGCTTCACATTTTGATATTTTTATTTAATAAAGGTTTCTATGATTTTAGGATTTCAATAACCTAATATGCATGCAAGAGTTGGACAGTCAACAAGGAAGACTGCAGAGGAACTGCTGCTTTTGAGTTATGGTATTGGAGGAGAATATTGAAAGTGCCATGGACTGCCAGAAGAACCAACAGATCTGTGTTGGAAGAAGTACAGCCAGAGTGCTCTTGGAAGCCAGAATGGCCAGACTTCATCTCTCATACTTCGGACATATTGTCAGGAGGGATCAGTCAATGGAGAGGGATATCATGTTTGGTAAAATGGAGGGTCTGAGAAAAAGAGGAAGACCCCCAGTGAGATGGATTTGCAAAGTGGCAATATCAGTGGGCTGAAGATCAGGAGTCAGAAAACCAAAAAGGAAGAACACGCTCAGCATTTCTCAAGCTGGGGGAACTGAAGAAAAAATTCAAGCCTCGACTTTCATTATTGAAGGATTTTTTTTTTTTTTGCAAATTATTAAATGATACAGAAAGCATCAAAAGAAGGTGGAAGGAATACACAGAGTCACTGTACCAAAAGGAAATGGTTGCAGTTCAACTGTTTCAAGAGGTAGCATATGATCAAGAGTCAATGACACTGAAAAAGGAAGTCCCAGGTACACTGAAGGAACTGGCAAGGAACAAGGCACCAGGAATTGATGGAATAAAATTGAAATCTTTCAAGAAAGTGAGGCGGCTCATGAGACACTCACTCAGCTATGCCAGAAATTTGGAAGACAATTGTCTGGCCAACTGATTGGAAGAGATCCATATCTGTGCCCATTCCAAAGAGAGATGACCCAATGGAATGCGGAAATCATCAGACAATCTCTTTGATATCACATGCGAGTAAAATTTTATTGAAGGTAATACAGAAAGCCTGCAAGCATGCATTGACAGAGAACTTCCAGAGGTTCAAGCCGGATTCAGAAGAGGCCATGGAATGAGTGATATCATTGCTGATGTCCGATGGATCTTGGCTGAAAGCAGAGAATACTAGAAAGATGTTCATATGTGCTTTATGAACTATGCAAAAGCTTTTGATTGTGTGGATTATGACAAGCTATGGACAACATTGTGAAGTATGAGTATTCGGAACACTTAGCTGTGCTCATCAGGAATCTGTACATGGACCAAGAGGCAGTGTTCGAACAGAACTTGGAAACACTGAATGGTTTAAATTTAAGAAAGGTGTGCAACAGGGTTGTATCCTTTCATCATATTTATTCAACCTGTATGCTGAGCAAATAATCTGAAAACCTGGGATATATGAAGAAAAACATGGCATCAGGATTGGAAGAAGACTCATTAACAACCTTTGATATGCAGATGATACAACTTTGCTTACTGAAAGTGAAGAAGACTTAAAACATTTACTGATGAAGATCAAAGAGCACAGCCTTCAGTATGGATTACTCTCAACGTAAAGAAAACAAAAATTCTTGTCACTGGACCAAGAAACAACATTCTTATCAAAGGAGAAAAGAATGAAGTTGTCAAGGACTTCATTCTTTTTGGATCAACTATCAACACTCAAGGAGCAGCAGTCAAGAGATCAAACTACGTATTGCATTAGGCAAATCTGCTGCACAAAACCCTTTTAAAGTGTTGAAGAGCAAAGATGTCAGCTTGAGGACTAAGGTGCACCTGACTCAAGCCATGGTATTTTCAATAAACTCATATGCATGCAAAAGCTGGACAGTGAATAAGGAAGACCGTAGAAGAATTGATGCTTCTGAGTTATGATGTTGGAGGAGAATACTAAAAGTGCCGTGGGCTATCAAAAGAACCAACAAATCTGTTTTGGAAGAAGTGCAGCCAGAGTGCTCCTTGGAGGCCAGGATGGCCAAACTTCATCTCTCATACTTCAGACATATTGTCAGGAGGGGCCAGTCGCTGGAGAAGGATATCATGTTTGGTAAAGTGGACGGTCAGAGAAGAAGAGGAAGACCCCCCAGTGAGATGGATTGGCAAAGTGGCGGCATCAATGGGCTTAAGTGTGGCAACAATAGTGAGGTTGGCCCAGGATTGGGCAGTGTTTCATTCTGTTGTGCATAGGATCGCTATGAGTTGGTACAGTCCTGATGGCACCTAACAACACCACCATACATCACATATTTATTCTGTGGTTAAAGCTGATCATCAGCATTATAAGGATTCAGTGTGGTCTGTTACTAGAGGAGGCCCACGGGGCTGGGAGACAGCATATGACTGCACTGGGTACCACTGATGGTTAGAATGGACTCAGCAGGAAGGTTTTTATGTCTGTTATCAATTCTACTTTGTTGTTTTTGTTAAGTGCTATGAGTTGGAACAGTAAAACCTGTATAGTTTCTGAGGAGCAGCTGGTGGGTTTGAACTGCCAACCTTGAGGTTCAAACTGACTTTGCAATCCAGTGCTTATCCTCCAGCAGCACACCAGGACGCCATGAATTCTACTGTTGTTACTGTTGTATGCTATTGAGTCGGTTCCGATTCATAGCATCCCTGTATAGGGTTTCCCAGGAGAGGTTGGTGGATTTGAACCTCTAATCTTGTGGTTCAAACTGACTTTATGGTTCAGAGCTTCTCCTACAATGCCACACCAGGACTCCATCAATTCTACTTGTTTTTGTTAAGTGCTGTCGAGTCCGTTCTGACCCATAGCGACCCTGTGTAAGGTTTCTGATGCTGGTGAGCTTGAACCACCGACCTTGAGGTTCAAACTGACTTTGCAATCTAGAACATTAACCCAAAAAGCCACACTGTTGTCTATTTGACAGGGGATTCAAAGATGTTAAGTACATTTCCTAAGATCACACAGCTTTGGGAACACACAATGGAGGGCTGAACCCAGAGCTCTAGCTCTTGGTTCTTCCAGGAAAGTGACATATGCCTTGAACATGCTTTTCGGGAGAGACCCTCTCCCCCAGAACCTCCAGTGGACAGAGCAGTGGAATGTGCGGGTTCTGGGAAAACTCCGGGGCAAAACAAAGAAGGGTAGAAGATTCCAAAAGCCTGCATCCAGGCCAGAGAGAGTAGAGTAAGGAGTAGGGGCTGGGGGGAGCAGGGGAGAGAACAGGCCTGGTCCCTGGATTTGGAGTAGCACTTTGCTCTTTCATTAGCATTTTAATGGAAAAACTTTCCCCAGTCCCAGGTGAGAAGCCTGGATCTGCATTTAAATAAAGATTTCCTCTCCTGTGGCCCCCCTCCACATAAGAATGTAGCTCCAAGACTTGAGCCCTCTGGACTCCTAGGAAGGCTCCCCAAGGTCCTACCTGGGATGGAAGGGGCCTGGGGTAGTAGGGAAGAAGGGTCCTGCTCCCATGCTGCACTGGTGTGAATGGGTACACTTATGTGTATGAATGGATACACATAAGGCAGGCACAGAACCATGGGCACATACACAGCAGGGCACACGGGCGGGCCATGCACTAACACAGGTAGGCTCCTGGCTCCTCTGGGGACCCAGGCTTGTGGTGCCA